GCCCCTGTCTCCTTTGTTCTTATACAATGTGATGATGTTTGCATCCTTCATGTCCTGTAGTACTTCACCTTCCCTCCAGCAAAGACAAAAGATTTCATACAGCTTGGTGGTGATGATGTCTTTACAGCACTTCATGACTTCAGCAGGGATGTTCTCCTTCCTTGGTGCCTTGCCAGAGGCGAGGGAATGCAAGGCTGCTTTTATTTTTGGTAAAGTTGCTTCGCTGTCCAACTCTTCCAAGACAGGCAGGCACTCGATGTTATTTAATGCCTCTTTGGTTACTACATTCTCTCTGTAATATAGCTCAGAGTAGTGCTGCACCCAGTGGTCCATCTGCTGTGCTCAGTCCTGGATGATCACACCTATAGCAGACTTCAAGGGAGCAAATTTCTTCTGTATTGAACCTAAAGCCTACTTGATACTGTCATACAATCCTTTGATGTTACCTGTGTCCGCTGCTGTCTGTATCTGAGAACACAGCTGAAGCCAATAATCGTTAGAACATCTCCTGACAGTCTGTTGGATTTTGCTACAAGCAGCTTGAAGAGCTTGCAAGTTATACTCACCAGGACAGGCTTTATATGCTGCTAGAGTTCTTTCCTTGATGGCTGGCATCAACTCCTCCGAGTCTGGCAATCTTGTCTCTTGTAGGGCAACAATGTCCATCTGCAGTCTACTCAGTTTCATGTTGATGACAGCTGTCTTGTGCACGTCATCTATTTCGTGCAGGTTGTCAGAAGAGCCAGGGGTCGTTGTCTAAACTTCTGCCCTGAAGTTGGGCACCTGGAATGTGTAACAATGAGGACTATTGTGTTTTGTTCCATTTATAGTTCCTTTTCATAAAAAATTACAGTCCATGCAGCATTGTCTGTTTTGTCATTTGATGCTTCAGAAGAGGGGTAGTCAATTCTGGGGGCTCCAGAGGTTGGTTTTTCATCCCTCAGACCTACTGAGACCAACTTTTCTGCCGTGAGGTTGGGCACCTGGAATGTGTAACAATGAGGACTATTGTGTTTTGTTCCATTTATAGTTCCTTTTCATAAAAAATTACAGTCCATGCAGCATTGTCTGTTTTGTCATTTGATGCTTCAGAAGAGGGGTAGTCAATTCTGGGGGCTCCAGAGGTTGGTTTTTCATCCCTCAGACCTACTGAGACCAACTTCCACCAGCCAATGAGCAAAATTTGCAAAGAATTAGAAGGGGCCAAAGGTCACTTCCAATTTTGCTTTAGGGAGTTTGGGGGGGGCGGTTTGGGGGCAGGAATTGTTTGCCAGAAATGTTTTTTTAATTGTGGTCTAGAGCTGCAAAATATATCATGTGTGCATGACTGCTTGGCTCCTTTGCCTTGCAGAGTGTCCTCCCATCGGAATGGAGTCCCATCGGATTGAAGATGATCAGATCTTAGCTTCTTCCATGCTGCGGCATGGCTTGGGAGCCCAGCGTGGACGTCTGAACATGCAGGTAAAGCTACAGTGGGCAGCAGCATTTGCTTTTAAAAAAGATGAAAGTGTATCACTTGCCCTCCCAGAAAGGGTTGGGAAATTAGCACCCCATATAAAGTGGTCCAATTTCAAAGAATTTTTCCAGAATTTGAAGGGTCTTGAACCTTCAGTCCAACAGTTATACAAGGAAAGTGTATAACTCCTCCTCGTTTTCTTTTATGCTTTCCCATCCAGGCAGGGGCCAACGAAGATGATTACTTTGATGGTGCTTGGTGTGCAGAAGATGACAGCCGCATCCAGTGGATCCAAGTGGACACCAGGAGAACCACCAAGTTCACTGGAGTGATCATCCAGGGTCGTGATTCATTAATCCAGTATGTATGGGTTGGGCCAAACAAGAGAGCAAGATCAGAAAGCTGGGGAATATAAATATGAGTGCAATAAGAATAAAAGCTGTTTACTCGGCAGTAACACCCCCCCACCCCACTAGAGATTACACAGTAAATCAAAACAGAATCTAGGAGCTGTTTACGCCCTAAGCAAATTGTTTTGCCTCATTCAACACTAATTGGAAGAATGAGCCATGAGATGCCCAGAATTAGAAAAATATCTCCTTTTGATGTCTGAGAACTTCAGTCTTGCCGTGTGGTCTAGCTTGGCTTGGTCACATTTGTTAGTTACAGTTGGTATACTTTTGTATTAATTCTACATTCACTTCTCCAGCAGTGACCTTGTGGTCTCCGGTGGGCATGAGCACATGCTTTTCTTCCCTATTTTAGCCTCACACCGGCTCTGTGAGGTAGATGGGCCTGAGAGAAAGCAGCTGGCCCAAGGTCACTCAGCTGAGCCTGCTACACCCACCATTATGCTGGGATTTGCTGCCATTTATAAAATGAGTATAATCCAAGTAATTTTTCTGCCCACATGATGCAAAGGCTAAATTGAAGGAATCTGGCCCTTTCCACTTGCCAAATGGCTTTTATCTCTCCTGGGGAAGGGTTACTACTTTTTCTTACTGGAAAAAGTTGATAGGACAACTCAGCTGAGCCTGCTACACCCACCATTATGCTGGGATTTGCTGCCATTTATAAAATGAGTATAATCCAAGTAATTTTTCTGCCCACATGATGCAAAGGCTAAATTGAAGGAATCTGGCCCTTTCCACTTGCCAAATGGCTTTTATCTCTCCTGGGGAAGGGTTACTACTTTTTCTTACTGGAAAAAGTTGATAGGACAGTGTGTGTGTGTGTNGTCCCTAAGCGGCTACTCTCTTTTTTAAAAAAAAAACTCACTCCCTCCTGTTTATTTATTCAGGTTTTTTTAGTAGTTTAAGAACGGAACTGAGTGGGAGGAAAGCCTTCTTAACAGTTCCGTTGAACTGTGTCAGGTTCTGCCTCTATTTATCTGAAACGACGGTCATGCTGGTAAAATGTGCCTGTGTTGTCCTGCGGCTGCTGATCATGGGACTGTCGTGCTTTGCAGTTATGTGACTTATATTCCAAGACCTGCGCCCCTACATGTTTTCAAAGTATCAATACAGAGACTGGCGAAACGTTAGGAAGAACAACCTTCAGAACACGGCCAAAGAGCCCAAAAACCCACAACAACTATCAATACATTTATTTGCTAACCTGAACCTGAACCCCATGCCCAGGGGTTGGCATGCTTCTCCTGGTGGATGCCCGCAACCCCCCCTTCCGGCCACTGGAGTTTCCCTCCGCTGCTATGCGTGGTGCTGCCGACAGGGACCTCCAGCCCATGCCTCCTTCCCTGGCAATAGCAGGGCCTTTAGCCATGGAGGGAGAGTCTGGCATCCCAAAAGGAGCGGGGATGCCAGTGGGGGCACTCTCCATCATGGTTGGAAGCCTGCCACGTCCCCGTGGACATGGCAGAGCATTGACCACCCTCCCTGTAAGCGATCCCTGAGGTCGGCCACAGCTGCTCTCGCTGGTGGGGAGAGAGCCTCTCACTGGCCTCATCAGGGCTGCCACAAGGGTGGCGGTCCCGACACTCACCGGCCTGGGTGCCGCGATTTCCACCCCTGCTGTCCACGCATCCCTCTGTCCATGGCATGGTTGGACGGTTAGGAAATGCCGAGCCAGGGCCAGTGCCCGCAGGTGAGGAGACTCACCTGGGCATCACTCCCCTCCGCTCCAGGCATAGGGTGAGCGACCCTTTCGTACTGCCTGGGAAAAGTAAGGGGAAAAAAAAAGTAAACTAAGAAAGAGGGCAATGCCACTGCCCGTCACAGTCTCAAACGGCTGCCTTTTCTGAGAAAGAAATCTCGGGCCAGCTGTGCACTCTGGGCACGTCCTGTATTATGCCTGGAAAGACCAAAAAAGTAGAAGGGTGCTGGGAGAAAGGAAGGGCTGCGCGGCTGCCACAGGTAGACAGGAAAAATTCCGGTAGTGGCTGTACATTGTTTGATCAAAAAAATTAATTTCGACATCAAAGGGGGAAAACCAGGTACCATTCCATAAGTGTGATTGCAGCCTGAGATAACCTCAGTGCGACTTTTCAGTGAGAGAAGTCAATTGGCATTTCCCTCACTGTGTACTCGCAGCCAGAGTGTCTTTTCTTCCCCTCGCCTCTCCTACTCTATGCTACTCTACCGTAGCATCTTTTAAAGGAGTGCTTTAAAATATTTCAAAAAGTGTTAAAGAATCTTCCAAAAATCAATCACAGTGCTGGATCTGGGTGTGTGTGTTTTAGTCAATTCATACTAGCATTGAAAACTTCTGATCTGAGCTCTTCTCCGTGGAGATTTACGCCATTCCTAATTTCCTTCAGAAATAGCAATATTTTACACTGGCTCTTTGGAAACTGTTGAGGAAACCCTTGAAACTCTATAAAACCTATCTTCTGTCCTGCGTGTCTCCCTTTGTTTGTCTGTCTGTGGATTGGGGCTGACTTTGAAAACTTGGGATACAAGAATTTATTTGTTTCCTTTGTCTGAAGCAAAGAAAAAAAGTATAAAAATCACTTCTGGAGTGGTTTGAAAAACTCGGTTTCCCCCCCCTCATTTTTTGTTCCCATTGGTATTAATTTCAGGCTTGTGTTGTCTGGATGGTAGAAACATACCAGTATCGGTAGCACACAATCAAGTATTTGTAGGAAAATAAATGTTCCCTCTGGGTGAGCCCTTAGCATTCACACTCTTTTATTTTTTTTCCTTTTTTTGTTTTTCACAGTGATGACTTTGTCACTACTTTCCATGTGGGCTTCAGTAACGATAGCCAGAACTGGGTCATGTACAGCAATGGTTATGAGGAAATGGTACGTATTAATTTGGCCTATATATTAATGAAAGTCCTCTTTTGGTGCCCGATGTGCTGTAGCTTCTGCTCTAATTGTGGTACTGCTTTAACTTTGTTTACCCACCTAATCCATTACAAACTATTTAACCATGGTAAAAACGCAAACGTAGAATTATAAATGAATGTCCTAAAAATCCATGGCAAAAGTTGCCAGGCACAATGTTCTGAAGATGTGTTTAAAGCTGGTTACAAACAAGCTGTGTGGGTGAGGTTTAACGCTTCACCCCGGTGTCGTGTGGTTGGAAATTCCTATTCAGTATTCAGAGAGAGGCAGCCCATCTCTCTACATATGCCCCCTGCAAACAACAACAACAATCATTGCATGTTTGTGGAAAACAAGTTTCCTTTAGGGCTGGGGGTGAGGAAAATACCATACATGGACATAGCAATCTCCATCAGGACGCTGGGATAAATTTTGGTCTGCTCACCAGGTAGAAGCCAATTGAAGTCTAATTGCAGCCAATTAAAATATTATGTTACCTGGTAAGTGTGTAAGCAGATGTTCTAAGTTCTCCTCCTGCTTGGTTGACGAAAAAATGAATATAGTCCAGCTTCATTGATGGAAAGAAGCTTTTCACCGGGTCTCCCAAGTTAAATCCAAAGGAACCTTGCCGGTAACCAGCTTGAAACACATGTTAAGAATATTGTGCCTGGCAACTTCTGCCATGAATTGTTTTGGACGTTCTTTGATAATTTTCCTGCCCTAATCACAAGTTACTGGTGTGTGCCTGAATAAGTGGATTTTTATTCCATGAAAGTTTACATTAATTGTTTGATTTTTTACTTGTCTAATAAAGGTGCCAGATTCTTCTATATCTGTATATTATGTAAAGACCCCACAGCTTCCTTTGTATTTTTAAAAAAACTGTGATAGTATCTGTCATAGCCTTTGTCTGAGACATTGCAATCCTCCTGTGTCTCTGTGGGTGGCATCTTCAGAGGATAGGAGTTAGAACAGAGTTATACAGAAGATGCCGGCCACAGAGACTGGCGAAACGTTAGGAAGAACAACCTTCAGAACACGGCCAAACAGCCCGAAAAACCCACAACAACTATCGGATCCTGGCCATGAAAGCCTTCGAGAATACATTATTTTATTTTATTTTTCTAATTTTATTTTAAAATAAAAAGAAATGCTTGTTGCCCCCAAAATCTGTCAGTGGATACTAATCAGCTTTCCCCCTGCTGTCATTATTAGAATTGTTTTAGATTACATTTTCTGTATTCTGAGGCGGTGGGGGATTGTTTATTAGAATAAACAGGGCACTATCCCCACCCGCTACACCTTCTCAGGATGCAGTCAGGCCTGATGCAAAACATTTTGCAGCTCCCCCTCAAAAGGCAGAAGCCACACACTATGGTCCATGTGCAGGAATAAACTGGATGGGCAGTTGGGTCTCATTCTAGACAGGTCTTGAGATCATTTAATCCCTTCACCCTGAGAGAAGCTGGCTGGTTTATAGCTGCAGGACAAGCCATGTGGCCCACACACCTCTGTCCAGAGAGGTGCGTAGCTCTGGGAGTTGAGCAGAGTCTGGAGAGGTTGCCGTTTGATGCCAGTGCCCAGGCTCCCTTGGCCAGGGGGGCCTCAACTTTTCGAAGCTATGCATGACCATAGCGGGGCGGCTGCTTCTTCTCCCCTGCCAGCAGTCCCCTGAGTTGGCTGCCTCTTGCTGGCGAGGCCCACCCTGGATGACAGGAACAGGAAATGTGTAACAGTCAGGTTAGCTTGTTCCTCACTCAGCTCCCTGTGTATCTTGGTGGTTACGATTTGCAGTCAGTCTTTCTCTTTCCCATCCAGCTTTTTTATGGAAACGTTGACAAGGACACCCCTGTGATGACGGAGTTCCCCGAGCCGAAGGTGGCCCGCTTCATTCGTGTTTACCCACTCACCTGGAACGGTAGTCTTTGCATGAGGCTGGAAGTGCTGGGCTGCCCCCTCGCGAGTAAGTGTTAGCCAACACACGAATCCCCCTTTGGGATTCAGGATGGAGCAGAGCTAAAGAAGGCCCTCAGGAATTATACATGTTCTATATATTTTATTTGAAAAGATACTTCAGTCCTGCCCCTAAAAACAGTTCTCAGTAAGAGAAACAGATGCTATGGGGTAGACAGACAGGCGCCTCTCCAGTGTGCCACACTGTAACGAGGGAGGGCGAATGACTTCTACCTCCAACTTTGGAAAGTTGCTGCTGGTCAAAGAGGCAGTTGAAAAATTCTTACCAACATTTGAATGAGTGCACATGTTGTATACACATACTTTATGTAAATGTAATGTGCGACCACCCCTTTTCTGAACAAATGTGCGGATTGGCAGTCTGTGCACAGTGCACACACATTGAACATTGCACACGCACAGCTGGAATGCACAGATTCACAATCTCTGTGCACATGTATCAAGATGGACACAAACTGCTGGTTCGGCATTTTGTGCTGGTTTGTTTATTGGCTAAATAGGTGTTTGGCACTTCCCAGCCCCACCTCCTCCGGCAGCCACCCACTCAGGCAGTGCCTGGAGGAGGCAGGGCAGGGAAGCTGCTTCCAAGTGATCGTCTGCTGGAGGAGGCAAGGCTGCTTTCTCATTGGTGAATTCAACAGCCATGCCAACATTTGAGCTATGAACATGATGATGAAAATGGTGTAGTCATTATAAAATGGGCAGAATCCCATTCAATATGCCTTGTACATGATCCTACACTAACTAGTTCATTTAACAATGGCAGGTGGCAGAGAGACTACAATGCAGATCTAATTTTTGTTAATGAACCTGTAGTTCAGCAATGCATTAAGAGTGTAAGTGATCCAATCCCAAGCATTCAGCACGGACCCATTCAGTGTCAGATCTACTCAGCCATCCAACCTCAGTCTATACCATTCCATAGAGGGTATAAGTTCAAAAAAAGCCTACTAGGAAATGTTTAAACAATGCTAGATGTAGCTGTGCTTCAGATTGTCCCTCAACTAGAGAACTCTGATAAACTCACTTCCGTTCTAGAATATTCTCGTGGCTCCCTTCCAAGAGGGTGCTGGACCAACTAAATCTCCAGGTCTCATTCTGGAAACACACACCCAATACTTAGGCTATATTTCACATTTTGAAGGAAATCCTTTTAGTGAACATATAATAGTTGCGAGAAATTTGATCTCTACTCTTGCAGAGACAAAAAAAACTTCCTGGATAGACACTATAACAGAAGTTGGCATGGTAAGAAGCAGCCAGAAAGCTTGGAGACAACTGAAAAGAGTGGACAAAGATCAAAATAACACTGTATGCAAATGTAATCATCAGCCAAATAGGATGTTAACTGCTCCTGGTAGAGAAGACCAAATGGTGCATAATAAAAATAAAACATCAAAAGGATATTCAGAGCAAACCCAATGAACTTTATACTGCATTCATATTGGTGGAACTAGAGAAAAGCATAAAATATGTAAGAATGGCAAATCAGCATGACTCAATAATATCCAGATTGAGCAAATTAAATATTTTTGGCAAAACACAAAGGAATGATTCGTTCAACTTCTTAATATAACTGTTGTACAAGCAAACAAATTCCAAAAATATGACAGAAGGTGAAAGTAATTACTATACTGAAACCAGGTAAAGAACCATTGAATCCCAAAAGCTACTATTCCATTTATACTAAAGTGTTTGAACAAATGATACTAAATCATCTAGCCCATAAAACTGAGCTTCTTCTAATTCCTAAACAGGGATACTTTAGACCTGGCAAGAGCTGTACGGCTCAAATCTAACCCAGCATATGAAAGATGGTTTTGAATCATGTAAAATAACTGGAGCAACACTTCTCAACATTATAGTGGCATATGATACCGGCCGCCATCAATTGCTGCTCAAAAAGCAATACCTTCTTACTAAAGGTCATGGAGTAACATAAATAGTTACTGTTCTACTTCAAAACCAAATATTTTATGTTGAATTTCAAGGGAGGCACAGCTGCTCGAGAAATCAACAGTCTGCCACAGGGTAGCATCCTGGCCCCATAATTTATTATATTTACATAAATGATCAACCAACATTTCCATACTTCAGGAGTTTCATTTACGCTGATGATCTTGTCTTGACAGTCCAGGAGGAAACGTTTGAGGCCATCAAGCGCCAGCGAATCTCTGCATTAGAAGATCTTTCCTTGTATTATAAAAACAACCAGCTGAAATCAAACCCTTTAAAAACACAAGTCTGTGCTTTCCACTGAACAGAGAAACAGAGAGGAAGCTCCAAGTCAGCTGGGAAAGCAAGATTCTAGAATACAGTACTGCCCTACTGCAAAGGATCTGGGCACCACTCTGGATCAAACCCTGACCGACAAAAACATTGTCTAAACACCAAACAGAAAGGAAACTGGCTCAGTCAGACTGGGATGTACACTCACTAACAATGAAAACCAAGCTTTGTCCCTGTGCTACTCCATAGCAGAATATGCTAGTGCCTTAAGGTATAAATTAGCACATGCCAAACAAGTGGATGTAGCTCTTAATAAATCATGCAGAATTATTACTGGCTACCTGAAACCTATCCTCTCTGAAAAGGTTTAGTTGGCTGGCATGTCCCTTCTGGAAGTACCTTTGAGAGATGCTAGCAAATAATGAATGAACAACTTAATACAGCACCAAAACCCATCCGCTGCATGGGCAACCCCCCCCCCC